ATTAAATAAATTTTTTTCATAAATTTACATATAAAATTGAGGTACATCAAGTCATTTGACCTATAATTACAACACTCAAGTGGAAATGTTCTATGCCTGTTAGTAAAATAGCAAAAAAATAAAAAACAACAGCAAACACTAGTAAAAAAAATGTTATAAACATGAAGCCTTTAACAGAAAACAGTAGCAGCTCAGGCTCACTAGAGCACACTACTCCAAATAATTCTAGTTGGGATGAACAAATAGCTCAAGAAGCTAAGGAACTTAGAAAAATAACAAATATACATAACAATGAACCAGAAGAAAATAGAATTTATTTGACAAAAGAAAAAAATCCATACTTAGAAGAGATAAACAACACAGCACTACTTACAAACCAAGATGACAAAGGTAGTATACATGACAAAGTAGAGTTTGAAACAATAACAAATAATGAAATGAATAATGAAACAACAATACACATTGAAGAAAACATCGAAACAACAACATGTAAAGGTCTAATAAATGAACAGAACAACTTAATATTAGAGGAAAATCCTATTTCCAGCTTCAACAGATTTAGTGAACCATTAACAAAAAAATGGTCAAGCCTATTTTCTAAACTCAAAAGAGGCTAGTCAACTAACTTCTCTTTTTCTCCTAGAAACACAATTAGGTTAAAAAACAAAAATACCATTATTATAGATATACAAAGCTTATATAGCTCTTTTAATGAAATTATGTTAGGGAATGGGCAGAAATCAGGTGATTTTTTAGGGTGGGAGGGGGTGCAATGGTTTAGTCAGGTCTTAATAGAATAACCAATCAAGTAACAAAGCTACATATATATCACCACTGAAGTAGAGATTGAATTCGAATTGAATCAATCTCTAAACTGAAATTTCTATATGCATGTATGTACATACATACTATACTAAAAAAAAGCAGATCTGTATTATTTCAACAACATTATGCCAAGTGACTATTTACTAACAATATATACCAGTGACTTACTAGTAACTAATAAAATGCTTATCTTAACCCTATGTGATGTTGGTCAAATGATTTGTAAGTGAAATAATTGTCAGTAAAGTAAATGGCACTGAAAAAAGTGTATATAAGATGTTTTTTGACTATTTGTGTTGCTTTTGTATTATGCAGGAGTTAATATATTTCTCTTAATAATTTGACCCTTTTGATTTAATTATAAATTCATCAGTTCAATCAAGAGTTTGATCACAATGCTTTATAATTGATTATTGCTATTGTTATTATATAAATTTTCAAAATACTATCACTATAAATTTTAAAATTAACTATCGCTTTAATTAAAAATTACCTCACTTTAAAATACCTTCAATGCAATATATACTTAAGTTTTTAGGAGAGCTATTATATATATATATTTAATATTTTTGTTACTTAATCAGATAATATACGAAAGATCATTAATATTTTTTGTTCTATAAATTTATTTAGTAAAGAGTAATAGTATTTGACTTTTTAAATTTGTATCTTTTTTAATTTAAGTCGCCTTTATAAAATCACATTCGCAAAAGCTAAGTAATTATTAATTAAAATAGATTATTGAATATATTTAAGATTACTAACTTGTTTTTTTTTTTTATTAGAAATATTTATATACCAAAAATAATAATAATACCATGTAATGTTTCAAGCAAAACTACAAAAGGAAATTATAACAATTTTAATTTGTCTTTTTAAAATACAAGTTTCCTGTTACGGTTATGAGGCATAATTTTCTATTTCTGGTTAGTTGTTAATAAAAATATACTAACACTAAGTATTCTTTAATTCGTATTGTTTTTTTAAAGTTATTTTTATTACTAATATCTTCTTACTAGAGATGGAAGTATATGTCCCATGACTTCCTCTCTGAGTAATTGCTGTAATAGGAAGCTTGTATTTTAAAAGAGAAAAATATTAATAATCAAGTGTATTTTTGTAATTTCCTTTTTTAAAAATTTTCCCAAGTCTAAATTATGCTTAAAAAAATAGTTCGTTATCAAAGGTTATGTTCAAAACTAATTTCTTCATATAATTGTTGTGATTGTACAAATTTTTTTTTTTTTGAATTCCCACTGCTTGGTCACTAGTGGGCTGCAGTTGGCGGCTATTTTATTAGTTCAATTTTTAAGTTCACGGAACCTTCTATCAGGACCCTACCTACATTTTACATTTTATTTATACATTTTACAGTACTATCTATGTACTAATTATTTGTGTTCCTATTACCCCGGAATTTCACCAGGACTATTCCTAATCAGGGATTCCTTTGTTCTATTATTATCCTCAGCCCCCTAATCATCACGGCCTTTTTATGTCAGATCCGTCGCCATTTAAGGATCTGGGTACCGAAGATCTTCCTATTTTCATAGAGCATCACCTGCTGTGGTTAATCAACAATCATAGTCCTAACTCAGTTTTTTATCCCCTGTTGGACTTGAACCGGCACCCTTGCGATTGGTAACCTGGGAGTGTAACCACTTCACTATCGACCTGCAGGTCGATTGTACAAATTCAAAGGTAGCAGAATTAGAATTTTGATACCTATGACTTTCATGTTGAGATTTTTTATGATTTTGAATAAATTTCAAAGTAGGAAAATATTTTCCACACTCTGAGCAGCATAAACGCCGATGCATTTCTGTTGAAATTGTGGGGCAGTATTTGTCATATGCTGGAATCTTAAGCCGATCAGAGTATTTAAGAATGTGAATTGGATTCAAAAAATGCTAATCATGTCCTTGAATCATAGGAGGTAAAAATCCATTATTTTCTTGCAGTAGAATTGTTGCCTCTGGTGCCCAGGGTGGTTTACAACAATTGCGATTAATACATTTTCTAATATCGAGCGAATAACAGCAAATTTGACAATAATATTCAATCCATTGCCATGAAATATCATCATTGGTGAGCATGTCAGTATGATTATCTAGATAAGTAACCTTAATAGGTTTATCATGGATTTTGTCACATTGCCAAAGATCACGAAGCTTTTCTCCTGAAAATTGAAAATTTTTTATAGCTAATTCTTCATTAATAACTTGTCCTTGAGAGTTTAAGTAAGTACCGAAGTGATCAATAGAGAGTACAATTCCAGCTAACTTAGATGAAAGAGAGGACATACTCTATTCTACAGGATTATAAGCTGATTGGCCTGGTGCATGAGTATGTATTGTTAAATAATCAAGATCTAAAAAATGAAAAAGTTTACAGTATTCTGTAATATTTTTTAAGTATCTTGGATTTTCGTCAGGTCCACCATCTACCAACAAAACCCACAATGGCTTAACACTGTCTTCTATTTTAATAATTTCATCATAGTCTTTGGAATTTGTAATTGAAATTAAATCAGCCATATGTGTTGATGCAGTTGTACCTATTGTATATAAAATTAAAATTTGCGTTAGATAAAATTTAAATATTGAATTTTATTAGGATTAGGATGAAACTTATATTAGAGTTAGGTAGATATTAATGGAATTATAGTTTATTATTCTAATGCAGATATTAATTTGGTGCACAACATACCTATAAAATATTTAGGTCAGATATAAATTGTAAGATGCCCTGAGCAAAAAGTATCATTTGTATCTTTTGGATTGATTAGAAGATACACAGAGGGAATAAGCTTCATTTTGGAGCCTAAAGGAAAATCATGATCAGGTACAGAAATGGGTTCATTTATTGTTTCTATTGATTTAAACATTCTTCCAACTGCCAGAATTCCCAAAGGAACTTTTGATTTGTCATCTTGTGATATTATTATTGAATGATCAGGAAATGTTGCAGCAAATGTTCTAGCACCTTTTACTGAAGCAAGACAGTAATAACTATCTGGGTGGTCTACTTTTTCATTATGTGATACTGAACAAACTTGTACCATTGCTGGATGATGGTATCTCTTTGCTGAAAAAGTATTTGGATGTTTTGGCCAAAGATAAGTTGATAATGTTTGTCTGTTAAGATAAAGTTCATATTGCTCTTCGAGTTCTTTTTTTAAGTGACTAATTGTTCTAATTTTGATTACTGTTTTTCTTATTTTTTGATCTGCCTCCCCAAATTCAATGCAATCATGTATTTTTTCAAGTAGATCTGGAGTTTTGTGCAAGAATTGATGGTCTTCTGGGACCATCCCACCGTTCAACTATACCTTCATCAAGTTGTTTTCTTTTTTTAGCTTCTGATTTAGCTTGATTATATGCATGTTTTTGAAGTGATTTAATCTTTTTATCATTTGCATTTATAATATCTTTGTTTTCTTGTATTTGAGCAAAAAGATTATGCCGAATATTAATATCAGTAGCTATGTTATATAAAGATTCAAATTCAATAACCTTTTTTTTGGCAATTTGAATTTTTTCATATGCTGCTTTTTGAGCAGCAGAATTAGAACGTATGTTATATTCATGATATGATAAAGAAAGTGAGATATGTGTTGACATATTTGAAGTTGTTAATTCAGAAGATTGAGAAGATATGTTACTAATTATATTTTTGCTAAAACCAACTGCTTGTAATGAAATTGGAGTAGCTAGAAGATCTTGAATTTCTGCCTGAATACTATCAGGGTTATTTTGCCTTATTTCATGCCATTTTTTATTTCCCTCTTCAACTAAATTAGATTTGAATAGTGATGGATTCATGGTAAAAACCATTTTATGATATGCGAAAGCATTAATAAAATGCTGATACAAACTATTAGGGTTAGCATAAATTAGTTTCTTATTAAATTTTGGTACACTCAAAAATGATTGCATTTTGACACATTTAGTATTTAAGAGCAAGTATAATTATTAAAGTTACTTGTTTATAATATGGTATTAGTGAAATAGATATGGGTTTGTTTATTAATTTGAAGAAAATTTATATGCGTGAGCAACAAACTAAAGGGTTTCTTTATATATTTTATATTTTCAGGTTTTATAAAGTTCATATATTACAAAAAAACTCAAAGATGTATAGTAACAATAAAAAAAATTTCAGGATAAATAAGTACTTTTTACGTAATTATTATTAACCAGATATAATAGTTTTTTATTAATTTTAGAAAAATTTTTTTTTTTATAATTTAAATTTAACTTACAAAAGAATTATATCATTCATTAACGCCTGAATCATTTGTATGAAATTTTAGATATATGATATGAGTGTTTTTATTTTCTTTTCTTATTTTGTTAAGATACATCTGATTTTTTTTCATTTTTTTTTTAATTTCTTTCTATTTCATATTTTCATATGCAATACTCTAGCTTATTCTAAAATCTTATCCTTTTTTTTTTTAATTTATTACTTTTTTTTTTGTTTATATTCATTGAAAACTATTTTGTAACATGCACTATCATGATACTTTAATATTAAGATGCATGCCACTTTATACAATTTGGCTTTACAATCACGATACAAATTAGATGCAATTATACCCAAAAAAGTTAACGTTTATAATTACTGAATTGCATGAATAGAGTATCTCGCATCTATATTCTTAATCAATCTCATCAAACAAATAAGTTAAAGAAAAATTTGTTGATAAATAGCTATGAGATGCAAAAGTTAAAAATAAAAAAAATAAAAAATTGTCCATATTGTGATCTAAAGCTATTCAAGCCTAAATTCGAATTAGAAGTATATTTTGAATAAAACTCAAATTATCAAAAGTATTTGATACAGATAACTAAACATTATAATAAAGTGATTGGCCCTTTAAGCAATTATAATAAATTATTTACCTTTTTTATGCTAATGTTTGAATCTTGTAAGAGAGATTCAATTTACGCATACATTAGTCTAATGATTTTCACTCGTATTCTACGTACGTATAATTCTATTGCCAATTAAGGAAAATAATTCTGAGAGATCATCATGAGGTTTGACTAATTAATTATCATTCAGGTTGATGAAAATCAACAGATCGAAAAGATGGCTAAGCAGGAATATACCAGCAACAACCCGGTCATATCCCAGTATGCAGCCATTAATCCTGATTAAGCATAAAGAAAAGGAGAAGCGTAGAAACAGGCACATGAAGTCAGATAAGTATAATTAAAGTTTTAATTAGTTGCCAAATTAGGTTATTTATAGAATCACTAAGAATAGTCTCTATCGTAGGACCGTATATAAGAAGGCGCATGATTGACAATTGGCATCATCCACCCAAATGAACCAGAAATTCGCACCCAAACCCCCTACCCACATAGAATCAGCCATTCTGTGGCAACTTAAAAATTTTATGTCAAAGCTGGCCTGCTTCGTGCAGTGTGGGAGACCACCAGTTGATGCCACGCATTGCGAATTCAGCTGATGATGGCGATACCCGGCACAATTGTAATTGCTATTTCTGGGAGTATATCTTGTCTCAGTTTATACATCAATTGCACTGACGTACGCTGCATATTCTCAATAAAAATCATTCAATAAAGTTTAATATCTAGTATGATTAGCTAGATGTTTCCAATTAATATTATGACATGTGTGCAATGCTTTTAGATAAAATAAAAAATTCTGATTTTATAATCAATTGTGTTACAATTTCAAAAAAAAAATAGTTATAATTATGTCTTAAAGTTAGAATTAGGCTAAATGAAACATATTCTATAATGTTATACTTTAGCTATAAAATAAAGCATATGAACCTATTATTTTTTATAACATATGATTTCACAGAATAATCTTATATAATTTTCTTAAGCAATTGTAGAAAATATATGATTGTTGCATTTATTGTGTGTGCTGTCAAGGAAAAAATCTGTATTTAGATACACAGAAATTTACAAATCTAATTACAGATCTTTCCTAGTAATACATATCACCTTGCACAAAGCAAAGCTCTATGGTGTTCGCGATTCGATTTGATAATCGTGTATAACTAGTCAGATGGTACTGTTCTATAGTTATCAACCTAAAAAATTTTCTAAAAAATTTCACTGTTAGAATAAAGTTAGGTTTTGTTATTAAGTTAGGTTAGAAAGAACTTTAACAACACCAAAATTTCACGAAAAAAAACTTTTTTTTAGTGCGCAGAAGGCAGTTTCATATGTAAAATGTTGGATTATGAATTATTTTTTAGATTGTTTTGATCTTTTGTATTTCTTCTTTATTACACCTAATCTTGAAATCTGATTGGTTAGCATAATTTTTTAGACTAGTATTGCTAGTATAGTAGTCAGGTGAGGGGGAGGGGGTAGATCACTATAATGAATTGAAATCACCTGATTTCTGCCCATTCTCTTATCTTTATTTGAAACAGCAAAACATGATATAATTGCAGCTAAACAACATCTCACCAAAGGAACAAGAACCCACTTAGAAATAATCTTTACAGACAAAGATAAACTAAGAAGCTATGTGAAGAATGATGTTAAAATCTTCAACAAGACATACTATGGTTATATTCCAGTGGACATGAGAAATCTTTTCTGCTAGTCAAAATCAGAAATATACCACTAGACAACAAAGAAGAACTATCAGATTTAATAAAAAATGCATTTGAGCATATAGGTAAAATAGCATCAATTAAACCTCTGCTGATTGAAGATACACCATACCTGACAGATCAGTGGGTTCTAATATTTGAGACTACAAAGAATTCTTATTTAGAAGGAAGGATCTCTAGATTTACCCATATTTGGAATAACAAGATCACAACAGAATGAAAAGCTGCAGAAAAAGTATGCTATTTTTGTGAAAAAGAGGGGTACATCAAAAAAGAATGCCAACTATTTCAAGAATCAGTAGGTCTCTGTTAACAACATCAAGATTTTTTTAAAAAAAATTGGATCATATAGCAAAAAAAACATTGAAGATCTGCATATACTCTCTTCTGAACACATGAGTTTTGGAGTAGAGTAATTCTTTTGTTAAAAATAAGAGCAAACAACAAGACAAAACCGGCTAAAGTATTTACTAA